CTTATTTTTTTCAGATTCTGAAGAGTAGAGCTGCGTGGGGTTTTTTTTACATGTGGGAGTGCTGAGAGTAGGACCATGATTTAAGTACTTGGATTATTGTTTTGTTAGTGGATTAAATTAGTGGACTTGGTGGACATTTTCATATAAGAACTATTTATTTTTATGGATTTTAGCATTATGATAATTAAAGATTTAATTTGAGTATTTTACATTGTGGGTTATGTGATTGGACTCTTAGCCTTGCATGCTCACTTAAATGAGTGTGCGGCGTTGTCACGGAACTTGGGGCGTGACATTAGTCTTCGATGTCTAATCTAAACATCAATGACCTATTTATATATTTTTATTTCTATATTTCAATTTGTATATGTAATTCATGGTTGGGATGCGCATTTAATTTAATCTTTTGAAGATCAAAATAACATTTTAACAAAAATCACAAGATATGGGCATGTTTTACGGGACAAACCGGTTCTTTTTATAACTAATGAAAATGTCACGCCCTCAAAAATATACCCATTATATATATCATTGACATGTATTATTTAAGGAAAACACTTTAATAATTCATTATAATATCCATCAGAGTCTTACTAAACAAAAGCATTACATGTAACATCAAAGTAAATGCCCTACCGGCTTACATCTTTCCAAGCCAACACTTGGACACAAAGTATGAGTTCTAACTCAAATATAAATAAAGCCCTAGGCTTGAGTTTTACATGTACTAACAACGAAAAACAAATAACTAAAAACAGTCTTCAAAATCCAAGTCCTTCCAAGCTAAGACCTTGGAGGTAGCTTATCACCTGAACCTGAAAATGATGTTCCCATATAGGGTGAGCCACAGCCCAGTAGAAATATACTAAACCACATATAAGCAATGAATAAAGCAATAGCATTCAACAGATGGTTAACCAAGATAATCAATTACTTCATTTTACAGCCTCATGACACTATTGTCTAAGATACGTTTTACTTTCCAATTTTATCAACATGACTCAGATCCTGGCCAAACTTACAACAGTGAATTACATATATCATATTCACATCCTTCCAATATCAACAACAAATGAGACTCAAGCTCAAATCAAAACACTTCATACTTCCAGATTGATACACATTTTAGTGCTGTATCAATAAAACACTTCTATATAAATAAGCACACATAAAAGTGATGCTAATGGAGTCCATCCCCTATCTCCTCCCAAACAAAATCCGGTTTAGAGGTCCATCCCCTAACTTCCCCTAAACCGTGGAGTACATCCCCCATCTCCTCCCACACACAAAACAATGTATGCAAATGCAATATATATCATATTCACATTCTTCCAATATCAACAAACAAATGAGACTCAAACTCAAATCAAAACACTTCATACTTCTAGATTGATACACATTTTAGTGCTGTATCAATAAAACACTTCGATAGAATACATTAATTGTATGTATTGGGTGATTGTATATAGAACCAATGTGTTTATATACGTTATGTATAGAGGAGCGGTCTACGCAGGTAATGGAATTAAACATGCGGTCTACGTAATCAAAACATGCGGTCTACGCAGGCA